CAAAATTAAGAAAGCCTAAGGTTCATGTGGGAGCTCTGGTAGTATAGTGGCTAAGGCACTTGACTGCTAACCAGAAGGCTGGCGGTTCAAACCCACAGACACTCCTCAGAAGGAAGATGGGGCAATCTACTTCCGTAGTGATACTGCCTTGGAAACCCAAGGAGGGGTCGCTATGGGTCGGGTTCGACTCAATGGCACATAACAACAACAACAACAAGGTTCATGTGGGATACCATCAAAAGGAATAACCAATGTGTAATCAAAATTCAAGAACAGGAAGAGACAAATAAAACCACAGAGAAAATTGTTGAAGATTTGTTGGAAGAGAATTTTCCTGGTATGATGAATGATGAGAATACATCCATTCAAGAAGTCCAAAGAACCCCAAACAGGATAGACCCCAAAAGAAAATCACCAAGACATATCATCATCAAACTGATTAAAACCAAAGACAAAGAAAGAATCCTAAAAGCAACATGGGAAAAACAAATAATTACCTATGAGGGGGAACCAATAAGACTAAGCTTAGATTTCTCAGTAGAAACCATGCAGGCAAGAAGACAGTGGGATGGTATATATAAACCCTGAGAGAGAAAAATTTCCAGCCAAGAATTATATACCAGGCAAAATTGTCCCTCAAATATGATGGTGAAATTAGGACATTTCCAATAAGCAGAAATTAAGGGAATTTGTTAAAAATAAGACCAACCTTACAAGAGATGCTAAAGGGAATCCTTTGGACAGAGAACCAACAACAGCAAACAACACCTGGCCATTAATACACATAATTACATAACCCAGAAACCAACCCAGTTATAGGAATATCCAAAGTAAATAAGCCTACAAGATTGTAAACAGGGAACCAGAGACATCAATTGACAAATGAAGACAACTACAAACCAAAAACAAAGAATTGTATAGTTACAGAACTTCTAAATGGTAGGGAAGTCAAGACAACTACAAGATAGAATGGACTGTTCTAAACTTGGAAAGAAACTATAAATCAAAGGGTAACCTTAAAGAAAAATGATAAACTGTCACATCAAAATAAAAAAGAGGACCAGTACAAATATTTAGCAAAAAGTAAAACAGTAGCAATGAAGGGAGTGATAACACGATTCATAAACAAAATAAGCTCAGCACAGGAAATTATATAAAACAAAGAAATCAACACCAAGAAAAAGCACATAACAAAATGACTAACAAATTCATACTTGTAGATAATTACATATCTGACAAGGCACTTATCTCTAAAATTTATAGAAAACTCCAACACCTCAACAACAAAAATGGTAATTATCTAATTAAAAATATGCAGAAGACATGAATAGACACCTCAACAAAGAGGATATTCAGGTGGCCAACAAATACATGAAGAAATGCTTATGATCATTAGCCATCACAGAGATGCAAATCAAAACAGCAATGAGATACCATCTCACCCCAGCACTAATGGCAAAGTTCAACAAGACAGAAAATAACAAATGCTGGCGAGGATGTGAAGAGATTGGGACTCTCATACACTGTTGGTGGGACTGTCAAATGATGGCAACCATTGCAGAAAACAGTATGGCGATTCCTTAAAAAGCTGGAATTAGAAATACAGTTTGACCCAGCAATCCCCTTACTGTGTATATATCCTAAAGAAATAAGAGCCAGGGCAAGAACAGATATATGCACACCCATGTTCATCACAGCACTATTTACAGTAGCAAAAAGATGGAAATAACCTACATGCACATCAACAGAAGAATGGATAACCAAACTGTGGTACATACACACAACAGAATACTATACAACCCTAAAAAATAATGTAGAATCTGCATAACATGGATGAACTTGGAGGACATTGTGCTGAGTGAAAGAAGTCAAACACTGACGGGAAAATACAGTATCAGTTCATTCTTGTAAAAAGTCAAGGATATATGGAAAGAAACTTTGTTGGGTGCAAGGAGTGGGAGGGGAGAGGAGGGAACACTGCAAGAGAAAAATGTCACTTTAGTTTTGTGATTGTGGATCCAAGTAATATGAAATCTTTGACAACTTCAATCTTTTCTCCATTTATCATGATGGTGCTTATTAGTACGGTTGTGAGACTTTTTATTTTCTTTATATTGATGTGTAATCCATACTGCCGACTGGTGTCTTTAATCTTCATCAGTAAGTGCTTCAAGTCATCTTTACTTTTAGCAAGCAAGGTTGTGTGATCTGTATACTTCAGGTTTTTCGTGAGTCTTTCTCCAGTCCTGATGCTGTGTTCTTCATATAGTCCAGCTTCTTGGATTATTTTCTCATCCTACAGATTGAATAGATATGGTAAAAGGATACAACCTTGACACATACCCTTACTGATTTAAACCATGCAGTAGCCCCTTGTCGTGTTCAACCGACAGCCTCCTTGTCTATGTACAGTTTCCTTATGAGTACGATTAAGTGTTCTGGAGTTCCCATTCTTCTCAATGTTATCCATAATTTGTTACGATCCACACAGTCAAATGCTTTTGCATAATTAACAAAACACAAGTAAAAATTTTTCTGGTATGTTTTGCTTTCAACCAAGATCCATCTGACATCAGCAATGATATCCCTCATCTCACGTCCTCTTCTGGTTTTTGCCCAAAGAATCCTTCAATATTTCAACTCAAGACTTGAATATTTCTTATGTTCTTTCAGCTTGATAAATGCTGAGCATGTTCTTTCCTTTTGGTTTTCTAATTCCAGGTTTTTGCACATTTCATTTTAATACTTTTCTTTGTCTTCTTGAACCATCCTTCGAAATCTTCTGTTTAGTGTAATGTTCTTGATATAATCTCACAACTCGTATGGTCTTCATTCATTGGTGTTCAATGTGACAAATCTATTCTTCAGATGATCTCTAAATTCAGGTGGCATGTAATCAAATTCTTGTTTGGCTCTTGTGGATTTCTTTCAATTTTCTTCAGCTTCAACTTGAACTTGTATATGAGGAACTGATGGTCTGTTCCATAGTCAACTCCTGGCCTTGTTTTGATTTTTGGTATTGAGTTTCTCCATTTCCCTTTTCCACAGATTTAGGCAATTTGATTCCTGTGCATTCCATCTGGTTGATGTACATATTTAGCCATTGGTTATGTTGTTGAAAAAAAGGTATTTGCATTGAATAAGTTGTGGGTCTTGCAAAGTTCTATCATGCAAAATTCTATCTTGCAAAATTCTATCCCCCATCATTTCTATCACCAGGGCCTATTCTCCAACTACTTTTAATCTTCTTTATTTCCAGTTTTCACAATCCAATTGCCAGTAATTATCAATACATCTTGATTGCATATTTGATCAATTTCAGACTGCAATAGCTGTGAAAAATCTTTAATTTCTTCAACTTTGGCTTTAGTATTTGATGTGTAAATTTGAATAATAGTAGCATTAACTGATCTCCCTTCTAGACTTATAAATATTATCTTATCACTGACAGCATTGTACTTCAAGATAGATCTTGATATGTTCTCTTTGACAATGAATGTGATGTCATTCCTCTTCAATTTGTCATTCCCAGCATGGTAGACTGCATGATTGTCTGATTCAAAATGGCCAATACAATCCATGTCAGCTCATTAAACCTAAGATAATGATCTTTATCCACTCCATTTCATTTTTGACAACTTCCAGTTTT